CGTCAACATAACGGAATACTTTTGTGCCAGGTTGAAGTTTAGTGCTTAAGGCTGCATCCACCTTCCCAAGAAAAATTTGGCTTAAAACAGGGGCCACACTTGAACCTATACACACACCTGATTTTTGCATGTACAGGTTCCCAAGCCATACGACGAAGGTGGACTTCAAATAGAACGTCAAAATTTCTAGAAAAGACTGAGTCGAAATTCCCGTGCTATTCCTGAACGATATCTCATCATTGTCTTCCACAATGCACTGCTCTACGCTGTTTAACAGTTGATCATGCGGCAAAGAATAATATAAGTCGACTACATCAAGACTAAAAGCTGTAACACCGGAGCATTCACATTTGTTGAGGTATTCAACCACGACACCAGAGTTTTTTGCGTGAAAAGGGTCATTTACGCGCAACGCAGAAAGATGTTCTTGCAGATACTGAGATACAACCAACTGCCACGCATCCCTTTCTGAAACAATCGCGCGCAGCGGCATTTCCGGTTTGTGTGTTTTAATGGAGTAAAAAAGTTCTAGCTCTACACCTTTCGCCTTTTCTACTGAAGAGCCGAGTTTTTCCAGGTTAAGCCTTTTTAGCAGCGATATCGCTCTAGTCTTTACTTCCTTGCTTTTTACAGAGAGTGGTTTAAAATTTCTTTCTAAGGCTTCCTCAGCCTTCTTGAGAAAATCTAGTTCTTTAATGATAACGAAGAACCCTTCTTTGTCAGAAATGAGTACCCTTAGCTGATTGTTCAAACAAAACTTAACAACTGGTTGAACGCTCAGTTTTTCTACTCACATCGCTAACATTGCTCGAAACTGCTTGAACACATTCTGTTACACACCTATAACGCTCTTCCTCCTTGGCCAGCTTGGAGACAGTCCTTGCTGTGGCAATCTTTTCTTCAGGTCGAAGGGTAGGTTCTACGGAGAACTTCGGGCCTTTTTGCAGAACCTGCTGAATTTTTTCCGGCACAGACACATCACTTAGGTTCAAGAAACGTCCCTCACTTGAAGCTTGTTTTTTCCTGGCAGGTAGTTGTGGTCTGATCCAATTCCACAAAGTTTCCGTGACGGATTTCGAAGTTTTGCACCAGTCGCGATACGAATCGCGGTTGTTACGTCTATGAACGTCTTGGTCACACATGACCCTCAGCCAGTCCTTATAACACCGGACTTGTCTGTACCATTCCGAACGAAGGATTCGGCACATCCTTTTGGTATGCCCAAACGACGGACTCATCATTCCAAAAGGGTTCTTCGTTATCATTAAAGAACTAGATTTTCTCAAGAAGGCTGACGAAGCCTTAGAAAGAAATTTTAAACCACTCTCTGTAAAAAGCAAGGAAGTAAAGACTAGAGCGATATCGCTGCTAAAAAGGCTTAACCTGGAAAAACTCGGCTCTTCAGTAGAAAAGGCGAAAGGTGTAGAGCTAGAACTTTTTTACTCCATTAAAACACACAAACCGGAAATGCCGCTGCGCGCGATTGTTTCAGAAAGGGATACGTGGCAGTTGGTTGTATCTCAGTATCTGCAAGAACATCTTTCTGCGTTGCGCGTAAATGACCCTTTTCACGCAAAAAACTCTGGTGTCGTGGTTGAATACCTCAACAAATGTGAATGCTCCGGTGTTACAGCTTTTAGTCTTGATGTAGTCGACTTATATTATTCTTTGCCGCATGATCAACTGTTAAACAGCGTAGAGCAGTGCATTGTGGAAGACAATGATGAGATATCGTTCAGGAATAGCACGGGAATTTCGACTCAGTCTTTTCTAGAAATTTTGACGTTCTATTTGAAGTCCACCTTCGTCGTATGGCTTGGGAACCTGTACATGAAAAAATCAGGTGTGTGTATAGGTTCAAGTGTGGCCCCTGTTTTAAGCCAAATTTTTCTTGGGAAGGTGGATGCAGCCTTAAGCACTAAACTTCAACCTGGCACAAAAGTATTCCGTTATGTTGACGATTATCTGATCATCATCAAAAAGTGTTCAGCAGTGGACGTTGAAAGTATGAAGGCATGCTTCGAGAAGGAAGGCATGGGCCTCCGGTTCACCTCCGAGCTTCCAAAAGATAACAAATTGCAGTTCCTAGACCTTTCCCTGTTTTTGGTGATAAGCACCTTTGCTGGCGATATAATCCTCGTTCGGCAAAACCCGTTCTAGACTACTCTTCCGGACATTCCAAGCTTGTTAAACGCGGAATCGTAATGTCATGCTTACGTTCAGTCCTCGGAAAATGTTGCCTGCATACCTTGCAAAGTGGTTTCGTAGCACAGTTGGAACGGCTGATAGGTGCGGGATACCCTTCCTACGTATTAGCCTCAGTCTGTGAAAAGCTCTTGCGTACGGTCAAAAATAATGAAAAACGCACATGTACTTCTTCAGGGAACAAGGAAGAGAATAAGAAGCGCGCGGCAGTAATCCCCTACATTCATAAAATGGCCCATGGGTTAAAAAATGTGGGAAACCGGTTCGGTGTGCGCGTGGTTTTCTCGGCACCCAATAAATTGGCCAGTATATGTTCAATGGTGCACAGGAGGGCACATAATGCATCTAAAGGTAGAGGATGCCTCCAGAAGCACGTAACTAAGTTTGTTAAGTGCATCACCGGAGTAGTATATAAGATACCCCTTTCTTGTGGACGTATGTACATTGGCCAGACCGGCCGATGTGTGAACGTGCGTCTCAGGGAACACAGAAGCTCGTTGAAAAATACACCTTACTCCCATTTAGCGTCACATTGCGTTTCGTGCAAGTGCCAACCTCTGTTTGAGAATACAATTGTTCTGTTCCGGCATCCTCATCAAACTACGCGCGAAATTTCTGAAGCTTATCACATTTCCAGGAATACGGACCAATGTATAAGTCATCCTTCCTTCTCACTACTTGACTGTGAATTCAGCTACCTAGATAACCCTTAGACATGTGCCTTGATTACACGCTTCGCATGCTGCCCTTGATTTCGTCATAATCTTTTTTTGACATGCGCAATTTGTGTGTTTATATATGTTCCTTCCGATGTGGAAAATAAATCAGTTGATAGTGAGCGCTCGTGTTGTGTGGTTCCTCCCTTCGTCCTTTGTGTTTTCTCTGCGCTCCCAGTTCGCTGAACGAAGAAAAAAAAAGAAAAGTACTACTGGCCACGTCTTACCACCGACGTCACTCGTTATGTGAGGACATGCCGGGACTGTCAGCGACGCAAGACACCGCCGACAAGGCCAGCGGGACCTCTGCAGCCAATTGATCCACCTTGCCGACCTTTCCAGCAGATTGGTATGGACCTACTGGGGCCGTTCCCGACGTCGGCTTCCGGAAACAAGTGGATCGTGGTAGCTACCGACTACCTCACCCGCTACGCCGAGACAAAAGCCCTGCCAAAAGGCAGTGCATCCGAGGTAGCTAAGTTCTTCGTCGAAAATATCGTCCTACGTCACGGCGCCCCGGAGGTCCTTATCACCGACAGAGGAACGGCCTTCACTGCCGACTTAACTCAAGCGATCTTGGCATACAGCCAAACAAACCACCGCCGGACGACAGCGTACCACCCACACACCAACGGCCTCACCGAGCGGCTTAACAAGACGATCACCGACATGCTGTCAATGTACGTCGATGTCGAACACAAGACGTGGGACGCCATTCTTCCGTATGTGACCTTCGAATACAACACGGCGGTGCAGGAGACGACGCAGATATCTCCATACAAATTGGTCTACGGAAGGAGCCCGGCAACGACGCTCGATGCCATGTTACCCAACGTCACCGACGAAGAAAACCTCGATGTGAGCGAGTACCTCCAACGCGCCGAAGAAGCCCGACAACTTGCGCGTCTCCGTATCAAGAATCAACAGACGACCGACAGCCACCGGTACAACCTTCGACGACGCTTCGTGGAATACCAGCCCGGTGAACGTGTTTGGGTGTGGACGCCGATACGCCGACGTGAACTAAGTGAAAAGCTTCTGCGACGGCATTTCGGACCGTACAAGGTGGTTCGACGTCTCGGCCCACTTGATTACGAGGTTGTCCCCGACGGGATCACGAACTCTCAACGACGCCGATCGCGACCTGAAGTCGTCCATGTCGCGCGCCTCAAGCCGTTTCATGCACGTTAACAAACTGAAATAGTGTTTTTTGTATTATTGTTGTATTGTAATTTATTCATTGTACTTTCTTGCATTATTATTGTACCTTCATTTTTAGTTAAAGCATCGGGACGATGCTTTTTTTTCAGAGGGGGGCAATGCCACGTTCCATTTCCCAAGTTTTTGTTATCGTTCCGAAACACCACACGATTCTCGGCGCAAACCACGCCTGCAGGTTTCGAGAAGGTTTTGGACTGTAGTAGATCATTTCGATAAAATCACGCCCACTGTGCGAACGGTACAGATTGTTCTGGAACCTACGCCACCACCAGCGATAACGCTAGAACATACGACAGCAAGGGTATAAATGCCGACGCGCTTCGCCGCTTGTCAGTTGTTGATCGAAGGCCGACGCTGCGTTCGCCGCTATCAGTCCGAGACTGCTATCTCTGCAAGACTGCTGCTGTAATAAGACTTTCCCTTTACCGGGCACAGGTTCGCCCGAATAAACAGTTAAATCCCAACACGAAGTTTCCTGTCTTCGTCCACGTCACAACCCCGTGACAATATATTCAATGTGATTAAAAAATAGAACCCTTCTCCGAAGCAGTGCTTGCTACTGTACAGCGGATCATAACAGAAACTAATGTTAATCATACCTATATAATGTTCAATATGTCCAAGGACACGGGGAGTCTGTGCTGCGAGTTTATTGAGCGGCTGCTGCATACGTTGGCTATACACATCTTACAAAAGCACATTCCTATTCTGCAAGAAGCCATTAGGAAGCGAAAAGTCACTCACGGTGACCCTGAAGCTTTTTCTTCAACGTAGAGAAGGTGGTGGCACGCACAACAAAGCGGCGAAGACACTGCAGCAAGAGAAGCACATCCAACTCCCTTGCCTGGCTTTTCACCGGGAACGGAAAAAAGGTTTTTAACTCTAGAGCAGAACGCACTTTGCTTTCTTCGGCCTCTTGACCTGCAGGGCGGCCCTCGCTTTAGTCTCAAACCTCTCACGCACACCGTCCTTGGTCTTGGCAGAGCACTCCAGGTAGCCGTAGGCGTTGATTTTTTCCGCCATGGTGCGCCCTTCCTCCGGTGCGACGGGCTTCTGCTTCATCTTCGCAAGCTCCCGCAACGTGTGCGGGTCACTTCGGAGGTTCTTCTTGTTCCCCACGAGTATGATGGGCATGTTGGGGCAGAAGTGGCGCACCTCCGGCGTCAACTTCTCCGGAATGATCTCAAGAGAGTCCGGGGAGTCGATGCTGAAACACATGAGGATCACGTCTGTGTGCCGCACTCGGTCATAGTCCTCCTGCTTCGCTGTGCCCCATAAGGCCAGCTCAAGCTGCTTTTCATCGACTTCGATGTGGGCTACGTAGTTTTTGAAGACGGTGCGCAAGTAGACCTCGGGGAACTGATGCTTGCTGAAGACGATCACGAGACACGTCTTACCGCATGCGCCGTCTCCGACTATCAGCAGTTTCTTTCGGATCGCCGCTATCTGTGGTCTCAGTTAGGAGAATGAAATATATACACGGTTGGGAGATTGACGGCTGCCAATGCCTTTTCAAGAGGGCCGTCCAGGATCTCGGGGGCCACATCTTCGACTCGCTTTATAGTACCATGCCAGCCGCGCATGGTGCTGGGGACATTTGCGACATTATGTCGCCCGGCGAGAAACTGCGCATCAGTTCACGAGGCTGGTCGTTGAAGTCCTCTCTGAGTAGCCGCGGATGCGTGGCGTAGCTCAGGCCAGGGACTTGAAGCTAGCACAAGAACCGGCCTTCAAGTAGCGAAAAATGCTTGCCTCTCCGATGCCCCCAGGGCCTGCACAATAGCCGAAGGTGATAGCAGGACCCGACCGGAAGGCGTTTCGCGAAAAAGGCACAGGTGCGGAGCGGAGGCGCTTTGCGAATGAGCTCGCGGCCGTGCGGGACGATGTCGCATGCATTTCGCAGGAAGCCCGCAAGTCCGAAACAGCGCTTCTGAATTGCAAACACCAGGTCTTTGCCGTTCCCCTGTGCTCTGCGCTTCGAAGTGGCGATGCCACAGTAGTGCTGTCCGATGTGAGCGCTGTGTCGCTGGGTGGTGTCCCGAGCTGAATACATGCGTAGTCTTCTGTTTTCAAGACGCTTTGCGCCAAACAGGAGAGTGAACAAGGCCTCGGTCGTACTTGTGGGGAGATGACAAAATACGCGACGAGCATATGCTGAGAACTGCAGGTCGAAGACTTGCTGCGGAGGCTTCAGCATGATGACGAGCAGGCTGACGTGGAATGCCTTGAGCCACCACGCGCATATGACACGCACGCTCGTGAAAGCTACGTAGGAATTAGGAGAAAGAGGAAGGCCAATGTAGAGTTTCTCGGTTAAATTTTTACCTCCACAAATCAAGATTTACAATAATGAACCTACGAGCAGTTTGCAATGAGCCGCAATCAATAGATCAGTTTCTTCTCCCTTGCCACCGCTTCGCCTCACTGCGCCGATTAATTCTTGAGAGACCGATTGGTACGCTCGGATTGCCACTTAATATACATCCACCCTTTTATCGTTTGGAGCATGTCAGTTGCGTGCGGGCGGGCCGCAGTGCTATTCTGTCAGCGCTACATCAATTCAATCACGCAACCGGAAGAATACGCTGCTAGTTGTACAGCCGGATATATCCAATTCTTTGTCCTCTTTCTTCATTTTTGCTAATTTGTTCTACATATTTTGGTTTATCGAATTCTTCTGCACCTTTTCGCGTTTTTTAAAGGAATTTTATTATTGTTCTTATCTAGTTTCTTTCTTTTTTAGCAAGCATTGTGTAAAAAATTTGCATTATAATGTACAGTGAGGCATATCTCCCTTGTAGGTATGAGCCAAGATCTAGGCGGCAAGACAAGACCTGGTGTATATGCACAGTGCAGGCCTCACGGTATACCTAGAATAAAGTATGCACACGCCATCCCTGCAGAAAAAACTCAATCTACATGTATGCATTGCTGCATAGATATAGATTGAGAATTGGCGATATGTTGCTCTAGTGCGTACTTCAAACACTAAAATATATTCGAACTTGCTACCCCCCCCCCCCCTTGATACGTGGCCATAAGGTAATAGACGCAGTGAAGTATGTGCCTTATGTAGTGGGATACCGACTTTAAATCATGAATTCGTTACTGTTAATTGCATGTTCTTATGCCCAATGGCAATGCAAGCTTGTTTGTACCTCGCATTGCTATTGCAGTATTTCACGTTGTAGTGGGAAGTATGTGTTCAAGATGCGTATGTTTGGGAAGCATAAAAATTACTTTCACTCCATTTTCAAGCAGAGTAAATTATTTTCGCTGTATTCACAAGCAGAGACGTGGCTGTGTAGTAGAATTTCACAAAGTCTGGAATTGGTTGGCGAGTGCTGTGCAAAAAAGAAAAAAAGTTGGTGCATCTTGCATTAGTTGCGCAAAGCCTGAACCCTTTTTCGGAAGGTGGGTGGCCTTTCTTGATCTTCTTTATTTTTCTTCTATCGCTCATTCTTTTTATTTTCATCTTTGTCTCTCTTTCTGCCTATTACTTTCATGCTCCCTGTCTTTATATATCTTTAACGCTTTTAGTGTTTTTTTCTTGATTCGTTATTCCACTTTTGTTGTTTTTCACTCCCTTCCTTTCTGACTCCACTATGTCTCTTTTTTTTCTGTACATTTTTTGCGTGTTTTTGTATATCTTTTTATTTTTTCCCTGTTGTCATTTTCAATCTATGTGTCTATGTTTCTAAGTCGTTCCGCTCTGTTCTGGTTATATTAAACATCTTGTTACTGCATCTCACGCCGGACAAGTCAGCACACACATCGTGTGAGTGCATGCCAGGTTCATGTGTTCGGCAGGCGAAGAAGAAGATGAAAGAGAACGCGAACCGGCTTGACAGTTTTTCGGAAGGCGAATTGGGAACAAGAGGTGGTGGTCTCGGTGCAATCGAAAGCGATCGAAACCTACGGAGCGCACGGTCAGCCTCTTCCGCCTGAGGTCGTCGATCAGAAGCCGGGCTCGTCTTTTCGGACTCTTTCGGACGGTGGTTTGGCTGAGCTTTTGGTGAATGTGACCTGTTGAAACTAGCTGACGTTGGATATTACTTCTTTAAGCAATCGAATTAGTGCTAATGTCTAATTCATCTCCTGGCCAAGGGCACAGCCCTTGGTCAGCCTCCTTGCCTAATGATGAATTGCCATTGGAATATTTTTTCCACAGTGGTGTTGGCAGCATCCCTGTTGCGCTGGTGCCCTCGAGTGGTGGATTTATTAGGCTCAACAACCCGAAGGCGATCCAGGTGGAGTCGCAGGCCCTGACGCCGCACTTTCAGCTGATAAGTGATGTTCGTCAGTTCGGAAAAGGTGGTTTGGTATGCAGATCGTCAGATCCTTCGTGCGTTTCTGACATCCTAAAATGCAAGACATTTGCTTCGGTCCCGGTGAGTCCATTTATCCCGCCTCATTTAGCGTGCTTTAAGGGAATTGTACGAGGAGTCGACTGTACATTAACGCCCGCTGAGACTCTGGAAAAGCTGTCTGATGCTGGGGTCATAGCTGTGTACCGATGCAACCGATTAGTTAACGGTGAGAAAGTCCCCAGTGAGTCGGTTATTGCTACCTTTGCCGGCACTTCCTGTCCATCTGAGTTGAAAATATGGCCGCTCATTTTCAGAGTCGAACGTCTCGCTTCTCGTCCTCTCCAATGTCAAAACTGTTGGCGTTTTGGTCACAGTGCAGGGGGCTGTAAATCAAATTCACGTTGCCGTATCTGTGGCGATAGCCACCTATCGAAGGAGTGCAACGCCGAAACCGAAAAGTGCTGCCTCTGTGCAGGAAATAACGCGGCCGATTATCTGAACTGCACCGCAAGGTCTAATAAAACGCAACTTCTAGAAATCATGGACAGACGTCGTTGCTCGCGGCGAGAAGCAATAACAGTTGTGAAGGATAGGGCATTTGGATATGCCGGAGTCGCGTCGAGGCACGAACAACTAAGTGAGACGAAGATTCTTAATCTTATTGAGGCTGCAGTAGAAAAGGCGATGTCGAAAGCGCTGGAACACATAGTTGCGAGCGTAAGTGAGTGCATTTCTCAAGTGTTTTGATCACAGATGACACAGCTGGCTTCTGCAGTAGCAGTACCGATGGCCAAGTCGGCACCTTGTGCAGTGGAAGAGATACCGAATTTAGCCCCACAGCGGCAATCCCGAGAGGAGAAAACCCCAATTTCGTCCGTACCTTCTACGTCGACCCTTCTACGTACCTTCTACGTCGATCAGAATGAAATGGACGTATGCCAAGATTTCAGGCGTCAGAGGCGCACTGGATATCCTTTAAAATCTCTATGACCAAACACAAAACCCAAAAAGGGCAGCGAAAATGCCAGTGCACTTATTAAGGAGAGTATTTTAGAAGCTTGATTGATTTGTGGGGTTTAACGTCCCAAAACCACCATTTGATTATGAGAGACGCCAGTATTTTAGAAGCTGCCGTTGCTGAAGTGTTTCGCTCGTCCACATGGATACCTTGAAAGTACTACAGTGGAATTGTAGGTCTTTGATTTCTGCTTCTACTGACTTACTTTGCTTAATTGATCAGTTATATCCGGATATAATCTTATTACAAGAAACCTGGCTTAACCCTGTTAAGAATTATCATTTAAACAATTTTAGAGCATCTCGGTTAAACCGTCCATCACTAGGAGGTGGTCTAATTATACTAGTCTCGAATGAATTTTGCCGCACAGCGAGCATAGCTTTTCAGCTTATGTCCACAGACTGTGAAATTTTGGCAATAGACCTCTGTCTGCCAGGGCACCACCCTTTTTCACTTATAAACGCATATTTTCCAACGGGTTTGCATAATACTCAACAATTAGATACTGCATTAGCTAATTGCAAGGATGATTTCCTTATGACTGGTGATTTCAACTCACATCATGTTTCATGGGGATTTGGAACAGACCCTCCTGGTACTCTTCTGTGGGATTGGATGATTAATAAAAACCTTACCTGCCTAAATGATAGACAGCTTACATTTATTCGCGGACGGACACGATCGGTATTAGATCTCACGTTTTGCAGCCCAAGTGTTTCAATAAAGTCTTGGAAAACAATTGATTTCTCTTCAAACAGTGACCATCTTCCGGTATACTTTGAAATCTCATGTGCTGTGAAATCTATTGAAAGGACAGAGAAAACTTTGATCAATTACAAAAAATTTAAAGACTGCTTGCGTTCCAAAATTAGGGCAGTGTCCAGTGGTCAAAATGAAGACCTCGGCAGAAATCTCTGTTCTGCTTTAAAAATCGCCAAGAACACTTCAGAATTTGTAATTGCTTCGTTGTCATCCAAAAGTGCCCAACCTAGTAGATGGTGGAATAATGGGGTGCACACGAGATTACAGAAGAAGAAAAGCTGCATGGAAAAGACTTATATGTAATCAGAGTCCAAAAATTGGAAGGATTATCAGTTTATTGCGGCAACATTTAAACGCACTGTATCGCGAGCGAAAGAGCAATATGACCAAGAACATTTCGAGTACCTGTCTAAATCAAATAACAAACGTGCTTTATTCAATTTTCTTCGTGGTAGAAAGAAGTTCCCTATACCAGGAAACGTTGACTCAGTAGTTCACACCTCACAGGAACTACAGAAATCATTGAATCAGTTGGCTAAAGAATGAGAAAACAGGTTCTCAACGCATCTTCCTAATTTGGCTTACACAACAACCATCTAAGACTACACAGAAATATTGACTTCCGAAATAAATAAGGCTATGGAAAGATTGCCAAATGCAGCACCAGGCCCCGATGGAATAACAAATACAATGCTAAAAATATTTCACAGGGAATATCTGAATGATCTGTTAGGTCTCGTCAATTATTCCCTTAGAAGAGCATGGATCCCTTCTGATTGGAAGATTGCGAAAATTATATCATTGCTTAAGAAACAGGGGGCAGGCTATAATTTAGACAACATACGACCGATAGCCTTAACATCTAATGTAGTAAAACGTATCGAAAGGGTACTTCATGGTCGTCTAATTAGGTTTATTAACGAGAAACAACTGTTGAGTTCTTCCCAAATTGGCTTTAGATCTGGATATTCCATATGGCATGCACATGTAGATCTGGAAAGTCGTATTCATATTGCCCGTCACAAAAAGCACTTTGCGGCTTTTGTAACGTTAGACATATGTAAAGCATACGATAGTGTAGAGTATTCTATCTTGACTAATCAGTTATGGAGTCGTGGACTTCCACCTTATATAGTAGCATGGGTGACGGAATTTTTAAGTAGAAGAGAATTGTATTGTTATCAAGGTGGTTTCTCTTCCTGTAAGCACAAGCAAACCCGAGGTGTACCTCAGGGGTCAGTACTTTCCCCGGTTTTATTCAACATATTGCTTAGTACCATCCCCGTTCATCCAGATGTGAAAACCTATGTTTATGCCGATGACATTGCTTTCTTTGCTATGGCACACGACTTCCACTGTCTCTACACTATCTTGCAAGCATATCCTAATGAAAGAGAACATTGGCTGGATGGATTGATGTTGAACCTGAATATCGGTGAATGTGCTATTCTCGTTTTTCTATCAAGGATCCCGTGCACATATCTATTAATTACAAGCTTCAAGATATCCCACAAGTACAATCATTGAAATATCTTGGAGGTATGTATAATGAACATCTAAATTGGCGCCCTCACATTGAATACATCGCGACAAAAGCAGTACGCGCGATGGGCGTATTGCGGAGGTTGAGCAATTGTAGATCAGGTATGAAAAGAAAGGCACTTTTGATTATATATAAAATGTATGTCCGACCTGTGTTGGAGTTTATCTGCATTATTTTTTCTGGTGTGCCAGCCTACAAACTTCGGCCGCTCGTTCTGTTGGAAAGAGAGGCTTTACGGCTCTGCTTATGACTTCAAAAGTATACTGCAAATGCAGTGTTATACCTTGAAGCACGAATACCAACCTTATTATGTCGCTTTAACATTCTTACTGTGCAGACCTTTTTACGACTATATGAAGCACCGTTTAACCCTGAACAAATTATTTTTATGTCCAATCCTGACCTATTCTTCTCCGTGCATTGGCCCAGATTTCACAAACCACAAATAGTATTTGTTCAATCGTTACTTGAGCCTCTAAATGTACACGTTCGTGATCTGATTCCTTTAACTGAGCAACAAAATTCTCCAGAAATAGTTTACCATGATATCTTCCCAACTCACGCTAAGCTATTACCTACAGGCATTTTAAATGGTTTATTGCAGGACCATTTGAGTACTCTGCCAACAAATGTCATTAAGCAACTGACGCATCTCAATCACATGAAAAATCAGGCGTTGGAATATATTGCCCCGTACTTGATTGGTCATTTCCACTTCGCTTACCGGATTTTCTTCCTGTCTTTCTGGCTGAATTCATGACAATAATGTTAGCTTTGCGAAAGGTAAATATTTTCATTCCAGTCGTAGAAGTCATAACTGATTCATTATCAGTGTGCTCTTTTCTGTCGCATCTGGTCACTCACCTATAGTGAAAATTTTTAAATCATTGATTCCCTGTCATCCCCGAAGTATTCATTTAATCTGGACACCAGGGAACAAAGGTTTGTTGTTAAACGAAATAGCTGATTCTCTTGCGAAGGCAACCCTTTCGACGCCAATTATTCCTATTTTCCCTCATACAGTATACATTACGGTGGCGCGATTTCACACACTTAAAATCAGGCAAAATTTATCTGACCCTGCACTGACAGCTTCTCTAGAGTACAAACACTTGTTATTTCCCTGGCGCAGTGAACTGACTAATTCAAGGATGATGGAAGTTGTCATCACAAAATTTCGTGGCCGTGTTACCTACCTCAATTTTTACTTGCATAGATCAGGCATATTGAATTCCCCTATGTGCATTTACTGTGATCAAAAGGAAACGATCAGTCATGTTTTATTACATTGTCGCCGTTTCGATTTATTCAGGCAAAGCATACTAGCCCCACCTCTTCAAAGACTGGGCTTGCAACTATCACAACCTGATCTTCTTTCATTTGGAGCCTCTACACTGGGTTTCAGCCATAGGGATGTTTTATTCGCCGTTCAAGAATACATCACTGCGACTAAACGATTTTCTTGCTAAATTACTGTCTCACTATTTTCTTCTTTTTTTCTGCAAACTTGATATCGGTATTTCAAATCAAAATTAACTTACAAAAAATTTGTAGGAATGACGCATAGCTGAAATTTTAGGGCAAATTCACCTTATATTCGGCCAATCCCCTTCTTTGGGTACGAGCCATGTGCACAGGGAAACAACAACAACAAGAACAACAACTTGCCAAGGAGGTGAACGCTTAGCTTGTCAGACTCTTTAGCTGTATTATTCTTTGCCTTCCACAGAGAAGTTTTTTTTTTCATCAAATGAAGCAAAGCCAATTGTTTAGGCAGCTTCATGGTTAATAAAGAGGCGTCAATATCGAGGGTAACAACCGTAGGCGTGTGCATGGGACGGGGACAGGCGCAGGATCAAGGTGGGGGGAGACTACTTGTGTCCTTGTCCCTGAGGGCGCAAGGGCTGCAGTACATATGCATAATGAGGGGGTGGCGGTGCTGCGATGACCTCTGACCTATATCTCTTGAAACTTCGCAAAATAGTGACACAAGAGACAAGCATGTACAGGCCCACAGATTTTGGAGCTTCACCCTGAAAGAGGCTCTGAAAGAGGCACCTCGTCCAGCTTTAGCTGTGACCGTACTAGGGTGGACAGTACCCTAACTGTACTGTGCCTTCCTGAGCCACCCTAACCGTACTGCACCTTCCTTGCAGTACGGTTAGGGGCCCTGAACAGAAGTTTTGTTCATTTATTTGCAACTTCCCATTGGTTTAAAGATAGAGGAAGAGGAAAAAGAACTATGCTCGAGTTTCTGATTTATTGCTGTTTAAAAATGATATTATTCGTGGTTATATACGACTAACTGTTTTCATCAGGCCGCTTTTGGGCCAATTGAGAACATAATGGGCTATGCAATTGCACGGCTTGGCTACTTTGGCAAAGTTTAACTTGGGTTATGGTTCCTTTTCCAGTCCACCAAATTACAACCGTGGTGGCGTTGAATTGTGGTGATTTATGGAAGGGCAAGTGGTCTTCTGATCAATACCCTTATGCAGGACGTTTTTTTTCTGTTAGGAAAAAACATTTTTTGTAATATTGCTACAAACCAGTCAGCTGTTGCTGGCGCCAATATTTTTTATGCACAAACTGTACAGGCCAAGAATATTTGCAGCACCTAAACGTACACTAAAATGAATCATTAAGAAGAACTCAGGTAACCTTCTAGTTATTAATCGGAAGGCAGTTATCTGGGTTATCCTTCTCTTCTTAAACTAGCTGTGGGAAAGTGCAAAACACTTAGCAGCAAGGGGGGCAACTGGATTCTCGTGTGCTCACAGACTTTTACGCAGGCTGAAAACCAGTCTATTTCTTGCTCTCATATCTGCTTCCGCTCTGACATAGCTATTATTTGTTTCATGTTGTATTTTCCCCGTAGCGGTTTGTTTATGGGATGTCGAAGAATATCAGAGCACGTTTTGGCAAGCTGAACCGTGAACCTAGCGCGGACATCAAATATTTCAAGGTAACGATCGAGTGAGCCTTTCACAAAGAACTAAGGGATAATTAAAAGTTTTTTGGCTACGGAAAACTGAGAGAATGAAGAAATTGCGATAAAGAACCAAGCCATGAGGACCTCGAATGCTGAATTAAATGTGCAGTGTCTTAATTTCGTGCGGCAGGTGAATGACCATAAGAAGAAAATACTCCTGCCCCACGACGGAGCATGGTCTAGTGGAAAAGGTGCTTGACTGGAAACCCTAAGGTTGCGTGATCAAATCTGGGCTGCGGTGGCTGAATTTTTCATAGACACGAGAAT